GGGTAATTTGTGCTTTGCTGTGCTAAGTTTTTTGACACGGGTAACATTCTTGCACTTGTAAGCCCATCCTTTCATTCTTCGAAGGCGCTTTAGTATTGGCGATGAAAATCTATATGCCCTTAGCTAGATCGTTTCAACAGAGCAACACATGTCAAAGCAATATTTAATGTAGTCTGTAAGATGATCACATTGAAGCGACAGGTCCTCGTCGTCGAAGACCGAAAAATCCATTAAAGAAAACATCGTCTGGAGTGATGAGGAATCCTGGTTAGTGGGGGCCATCCATCCCAGCACAATATCATCAGCATATTTACACCCTATAAACGTGGTTTGTATAATGTGATGTTCAACACACAAGGAAAATAGAAGGGGTGATAGGATCGCTCCCTGTGGAATACCACAGTCGGCACAGAGGACAGAGGATTTCTGTCCGTTCAACTTGGTGGAGTACGATGCGTAAAATAGTCACGTAGCAGATTACATACACCCATCCATCCATTTTCGGATGACACGTTTAGCAACATTGACCTATCCAGGCTACCAAAGGCATTCGAATAAACCAGGAAAAGAAGACGTACGGAATTACATTTTTACTCCAATGTAGAGGCTATAGAATGAACAAGGTATGCCACTGCATTCAATGTGGAGCGCTGAGGTTTATACGTAAACTGGTAGATATCATCCTCAGGAGCGGCTGAACAAATCCGCGGAATCACCAGCCTTCTGAAAACTTTTAGAAGCACAGATGTACACGCAATTGGACGATATCTTTGTGACCCACTTTTTGGTACTGGAGTTGTACTGGCCGTTCTCCAAATGTCCGGGATCATAGCCGTAGTGAGGCATTTGTTAAAGATATCTGTTGAAGGCAGTGTAAAAGAATCAACACACTTCTTCAAAGCTAATGGTGAGAGAGCATCCGGACCACAATCTTTGTTTGCCTTTAATGTTTTGAGTTCCGTGTGAAGGTTGCTTTGATCGAAGGGCACCGCTGGACGTGACCTAATGAAGGAGGGCAAGGAACGTGAGCCTAATGAGGCGGAACTAAACGCAGGATTCAATGGACCCACCTCCACTTCACTATTCTGGCTGAAAACGCTCTAACCACAGTGCTGCCTCACGAGCCTCCATAGATCGCGACAGTTATGGCTACCTAGAACTGCTTCGACCTACAAGTGGCTTAGCCTTTTTATTTCAGGTCTAATTGCCGTACTTAGTTTTTTGACACGAGTAACATTCTTGCACTTGTAAGCCCATTCTTTCATTCTTCGAAGGCGCTTTAGTATTGGTGATGAAAATCTATATGCCCTTAGCTAGATCGTTTCAACAGAGCAACACATGTCAAAGCAATATTTAATGTAGTCTGTAAGATGATCACATTGAAGCGACAGGTCCTCGTCGTCGAAGACCGAAAAATCCGTTAAAGAAAACATCGTCTGGAGTGATGAGGAATCCTGGTTAGTGGGGGCCATCCATCCCAGCACAATATCATCAGCATATTTACACCCTATAAACGTGGTTTGTATAATGTGATGTTCAACACACAAGGAAAATAGAAGGGGTGATAGGATCGCTCCCTGTGGAATACCACAGTCGGCACAGAGGACAGAGGATTTCTGTCCGTTCAACTTGGTGGAGTACGATGCGTAAAATAGTCACGTAGCAGATTACATACACCCATCCATCCATTTTCGGATGACACGTTTAGCAACATTGACCTATCCAGGCTACCAAAGGCATTCGAATAAACCAGGAAAAGAAGACGTACGGAATTACATTTTTACTCCAATGTAGAGGCTATAGAATGAACAAGGTATGCCACTGCATTCAATGTGGAGCGCTGAGGTTTATACGTAAACTGGTAGATATCATCCTCAGGAGCGGCTGAACAAATCCGCGGAATCACCAGCCTTCTGAAAATTTTTAGAAGCACAGATGTACACGCAATTGGACGATATCTTTGTGACCCACTTTTTGGTACTGGAGTTGTACTGGCCGTTCTCCAAATGTCCGGGGTCATACCCGTAGTGAGGCATTTGTTAAAGAGATCTGTTAAAGGCAGTGTAAAAGAATCAGCACACTTCTTCAAAGCTAATGGTGAGAGAGCATCCGGACCACAATCTTTGTTTGCCTTTAATGTTTTGAGTTCCGTGTGAAGGTTGCTTTGATCGAAGGGCACCGCTGGACGTGACCTAATGAAGGAGGGCAAGGAACGTGAGCCTAATGAGGCGGAACTAAACGCAGGATTCAATGGACCCACCTCCACTTCACTATTCTGGCTGAAAACGCTCTAACCACAGAGCTGCCTCACGAGCCTCCATAGATCGCGACAGTTATGGCCACCTAGAACTGCTTCGACCTACAAGTGGCTTAGCCTTTTTATTTCAGGTCTAATTGCCGTACTTAGTTTTTTGACACGAGTAACATTCTTGCACTTGTAAGCCCATTCTTTCATTCTTCGAAGGCGCTTTAGTATTGGTGATGAAAATCTATATGCCCTTAGCTAGATCGTTTCAACAGAGCAACACATGTCAAAGCAATATTTAATGTAGTCTGTAAGATGATCACATTGAAGCGACAGGTCCTCGTCGTCGAAGACCGAAAAATCCGTTCAAGAAAACATCGTCTGGAGCCTCATGACATTTTCCAAGGAGCAATTTCGCCCTTTGGTAAGGACGTCTGGTCAGCATTAAAATGTTAGACCTGCTGTATATAAATGGAGACGGTTTCAAAATACAGTGATCTGAACTGCTCAAAGGAGCCAGTTATTGTGTAGAAAACAACTATCGTTTATTTGTGTACACAGGGTCCAACTGGACATCTTGTCTGATCGAAACAGTCACTAGGTCTACCAAGCCAAGTGTCATCAAGAATGTTGTATCCTTTCTACTGAATTCGCCAGCAACAATACAGATAGGACAATCTAATTTAAGCAGTAGCGTTGAATAAACTTAGTCCTCGAAAAGTTTTCATTCTAACGGAGATGTGTCAAGAGCAATGTATACGTTTCCAAAGATGACTGATTGAAAGCCACTTAGGAACTTCTCAACACAACTAAATGGTAGTTTATCGAAATTGCTGAGTACGTAAATATTATGATTGTTGCGTTGCATCAACGTTGATTAACTTAAGTTAACAACACCACCACCACCACGAAACTGGGGCTTCCCGGGGCGGTCAGACCTGACGGGAAAATAAACATCGAATTGAATTGCCTCATTTTGCCCATCAGTATGCAACCAGCTTTCTTGTAGTCGAATGATTCCTGTATTATCATACTCATTTCGCTGCATAATGGCACTGACATTACCGATTTTACCAAGAAGCGAGCGAATATTACTAGAAAGTATCAGTTGGAATTGCGCTTTGCCGACAGAACACTGACTGAGGCCAGATTGCCAGGCAGCACGATGCTTTAGCTTTTTTCCAAGACGTTTATTCCTAATTCGTTTGAAGGTGTTCTTGACGTCATGACCGTATCCGATGAAGCACGGATTTAAGGCAGTAACGCGTAACGTTTTCATATGGTTGACGGAGTAGAACAACATTAGCCTTGAGACTTGATCAAGAAATTCAAATTGCTTCGGTTACAAATAAAATATAGAAGCTGCAGTCGGTAGTGTAAAATAATCTTCAAACGAGAACAGCAACGGCGAATTTGAAAGCCCCGCCTACAGTCACCTTCTAGCCAGTGTGTGTTATATGGACCAGTGAGTATTGATGAGCACTCCGCGATTATCAACTGTCTCCGGTGACTCGTGATTTTCAAGTATCCCTCCGTTACACTTTGGTGGGTCAAAACGCAGGTGCTACTGCGCCAAATACCAGTAGATTAGAAATACCAAGTAAGAAAGGAACGGGCCAACAATAGACCATAGCAATGTCTACAGAAAAATGGTCGGGAGTTGCAGTATGCGTGCACTAAGAATAGATAAAGGAGCGGCGCGCGCCACGCAATCTGCAAGACAGTTCGAAGATGAGGGGGGTGATTGGTGATCAGAGCGGAAGCTTATGGCTAATGAGATTCGCCACAACAAATAACTCCGCTCGCCTGGTCAGAGAATGAGGTCAGATCGCCACAGGCAATGGATAGGAGCGAACACAGCGGGAGAAAGCTGACGTACTAAACGATGAAAACAACTACGCCACAGGTTTATTTGTTTACACAGTGTGCAACGGAAATCAAAGTACGTTGAGAAGGATACATGGGGACAAGAAGAGAGAAAAAACTCACGAAAGCCCGCTTTTTGGTAGTATGGACATCACGGTTGAGCGATGGGGATGGTACATCGTCCGGCTCTGGTTTCACAGTTATAGTCTGTGAATTGGGATCTGAGGCTAGCTTTTTCTTCTTCGGAAGCCCTGCAGAAAGTCGATCGAGGAAATCAGAGGTAGTCATCTGGGTCAAAATACGTTCCTTCTGTGTCTCCAACAAATTACTATTCTCTAGCTGGCTAGACAAAGCAGACTGATGCTGACGAACCGCGTTGAACAGAGCCACTACACCACGTGTGGCTTGAGAGCGCAGGCGACGTTCACGGGCATGCTCGGATTCTACTTCCGCTTGAGAAGCAATTCTTTTAACGGGCCGAGTGTTGAGGCAAGGATGATAGTGCCTGAGACCAGCGGCCGCGAGTGGTTTCTTATACCCCTAAGAGTAATAAAGAAATATGTGAGGAGTGAAATGGACTAACTTGGCGGATCCACAGGCGCCGTTCCGCATCCGAAATAGTGCCTAATTTCGAGAAAGCATTCTCATCAGCCTTTAGTTTGAGCTCCTTTACACGTAGTCGCTCTGCATCGGTTTTGGCAAGCGCCAATATGGGATGCTTTTCTGGAGGTAGGGGCTCTGCTAAAATCTTTTGGACAACGTCGACAATCACGGCGAAGTTCATATTGAATCAGTGTTCACGATGAGGCTGGAGTGAAAAGTGCCCATGTAATTAGGCATTGATCTTTGGAGTAAACACGCCCCATAGTGCAAAATAGTAACACAAGATTCCCGTGAGTAAATCCCGGCAAGACTTGTAGTTAACCGCTGTGTGCAGTGGACAGATAACATCAAGCAGCAAAAGAGATACCATCATGATCAGTGATGCAATATAGCCATGAGATTTCGCCTTACGTCCACAAGACATGTAAGTTATAAATCAAAAACAATCATGAAAAATATATGAGTTCAACGTCGTAAGGTACCACAACCGATGGAAGACACCCCCACAAAATATGGTTGGCGACATCTCATTTCATGATGGTTCGATACCACGAATAGGGACAGTCACGGAATGCTCGTCCATAAAGAGAGATTATGGATGCCTGGTGCTATAACACCTAGACACGTAATACCCACCATTAACAGCAGTACATCAGTCATTTGAACTGATGCTTCGTTGTTGCACAACCAAGGTGACTTGAGGAACGAACAACAGGTAGAGAAGGGGATCTGGCATAAAACCTTAATGCCCTAAACAAATGGTCCGGGTCAAGGCACCTACACCTTGTCAACAACAACATACCGTCATAAACAGCTACGTAACGTGCAAATAAAAGGCGAGATAGTTCCTTTCGGATATCTTTACCCGGCGTCATCACCATCTACTATTCTGTAGGTAACTCAGCACCAAACACACTTTAAACAGGCAATCGGACTAGGAGAAAAGAGCAGAATCGCCACTGGTGCCGACTACGGGCCATGTTCTGTAACATTTAGAGCCAAGCACAAGGCTGGTCGCGCGGACTCCAGCATAGATGGCGGGACGGACTGACAGCAACAAGCTTAGTAATCAGTGGTTTCATTTGTCCCTGCCAAGTCGATTTTTGCTCATCTTGAGCTTGCGGTAATCTATGTCTGGTAAACAAAGCAAGGTTCTTCTCGGTCAACGGTGACTGGGCAAAGACAGTGGTGCCAAACCCAGTTATGTAGTGAAAAGCCAAAGGAATGCAGGTAAGAATCCCGATTATATCTAAGCTGGCTCACAAGCAACCCACAAGCTTATCATTTATGAGTAGACTAATCGATGTGACAGTGATCTGAGCAGGTGTAACGGCCAGAAATTGCAGATACAGCATCTGCAAAATGTGCACGCTTCAGAGTTTGGAGTGAAGTGCCGGAAGCCCTTCCGATATCATTCGTCATTCGCTGGCGTTTTTGCATGTACTCGTTTCGGGATACGTTTATCGTGGATGTCGTCAAGTAGTATCCAAGTAAGGCTTCGTGATGCAGGCATTGGAAGAAGTGATCGACACAGACTGCGTGAACGATATCGTATGCTGTGTGATAGTGCAGAAACTGCCCAGTCGACCCTGGAGAAACTCCTTGGACTGGTCATATTCTTTGACATGGACATGGGAGCTCCAAAGTGCTGTTGCAGGGCCACCGGCCCCTTATTGATTCCTTGACTCTTGATGACAAGGGACTGGAGCCAATCGACTGATTTAACTACCTTGGAAGCTGCATCTATAGCGATGGGTACGCAACTATTGAAGCCGATGCATGTCTTAGATCCACGACATCTGTGTCAGAACGGGATACATTTCGGTCTGGAAAGCTGTAGATACAGAGCAATAGGGAGAGCCGTCCTGATCTATGGACGTGACCTGACTCTTTCAGTCGGAGGACATTTGCAGCCTTCAAGTTTCTCGGACCACCACCGCTTACCTAGCAGGGCCATAATTATTTTATCGGATCTAAGATGGCACACACGTCGAAAGCGCCAAACATCCACTGGGTAACGGCAAATGAAGTCATTGATAACCAAACAGAGTTACGTTGATCTACGTCACCATCCAGACTGGAGTCAATGCTACCCGCCGTGCAGCTGACGCCAAACTTTACAGGTTATAGTTCGTAGCCAGTAGCAGTGGCGCTTTTGGTTAGTTACTAGTCGGATAGTTGCAGTTACCTGTGGGTGGGGTTCACTGTGATGTGAGGTTGTGAAAGGAGGCTGCCACTTCATTTTTGTGAGACGACTAGTCGGTTAGGGCTGGTTATCGTGGACGTATGGTAACAAACTACCAGTTCGACTAACTGTTGTTGATGATAACAATGATGACGGAGGCTAGAAACTCGCGGATATAAATTTGAACGCCCATTGGGCAAAAGCCTGTATCGTCCATGGAACTTGACCCGACATGAAAAACTCGAACATCAAGTAAACCCAGCAGCAACGATTACCAGTTCAACGAAGTAAGTGATCAAGGCGGCAGCTGTTGTAACGCTTCTTCTTCACTGTTGTAACCCTTCTACTTTACCTCTGCCACTGATGACTGTTGTACTGTTGCTAGCTGCCCTATGAGACTGCGACTGTCTTACTTCTCAGTCACGCGCCAACCCAACCGACGGAATTCAGAAGACCAAGGCTCGGTAAACAGGGAGTCTATCTACACCATAAGTTAACCGTATTTATAGGTAGCCGAAACATGCTAATTTGGGAAGTCAAGATCGCTCATTTTTGTGCATACGGTTTTCAGCCAGTGTGAGTTCCACTCCACGGGTTTATCATATTGACGGTATAGTTCGATTCGTTTTACGCGGACTGGTAATTGCTGGCCGATCAATTCTCAGTCGATACCCAACTTTAGCTCCGCTTACGTCTCTATTACCTCCCCCTTCAACTTGATTGCTCCTACCTATTTTCCGCACTTGGGCTTGGTCGTAGCTTTTTACCCTGGGGTCCACTTGTAGCCATCGCGGTTGCCTTCTTCTTCGACTTGGCCTGCATGTCACGTCGTTTGGCGCCTGTGCGACCGGCCGTGTTCCGCTTTGGGATCAGTTCTGTTTTCTAAACCAAATGTATCCAGTAGTATGACCCACTGTGGTGTCGCTGGTTCTTGATCTCTTTGAGTTTTGCCAAGTCGCTGTCGTAGATGATTGATGTCTGGTCCACTTGTCCTTTCAGACCATTATCTCATAAATAACTTTACTCCTCTTTCCACTAACCGTTCTGCTAACCCATCTTTCCGGGGTCTGGAAGGTTCGTGCATACACCAAGTCGCCAATCTTGAAAGTGCGAAGCCTGTTATCCCGCCCCCTTCTCGGCTGTCGGTTGCGTTTGTCAACATTTCTGGGAATCAGGCTATCAAATGTCGTTCCGGTGTGTTTCGATTCGGAGCGTTTCGATACATTCTCAAAAACGGCTGAATTGCATATCGTGACACCGCATATTAACTTCCTGGATTGTTTCGGCTTGTTCTCATTGGAGTGACGTATACTAAGCGGAGACCTGATAGAAACGTTTAAGATTATGAAGGGTCTTAGTGGCATTAAGCCCACCGATCACTTTAAACCAATTAGGTCGGATTACCTGCGAGGAGGCCATCTGAGGCTCAAGACGCATAGGTCTAGACTGGATAACCGGGTGAAAATTTTTAACTAACCGCGTAGTACGCAGTTGGAATTAACTTCCTACTGCGCTAGTGGAATGTAATACTATAGAAGCCTTAAAAATAGGCCTACTCTGTTTCCGGAATCGCACGGAGGTTAGTGGATTCCAATTAGTACCAATAGGATGTCATGAATAGTTTCATGAAGTTATGAGACGTTCCTCTTACTCATTTTGTATCTCTGCAGAAGTGAAGCTTGAAAGTAGAAGTGCCGGGGGCATTGAGTTGCTTGCCGGCACACGAAACGGGACGTTGGTTGGGCGAAGGCCTGTATCATCCCTAAAGATCTGACCCGACCTGACATATTAATTGCACTAACATAATTACAAATTCAAATGGGGTAGAAACAAAAAGAGATTCACATGGTCGTTCCATCCTAAATACGTCGTTGATCCGAGTTTGAGTTCACTGTACGAGTGGACAGTTGTATGAGCCAAATCAGCACGTGCAGAACACATCGTGGTCAACCAATGAAGACCCACGCGCCCAGCGATAGCAGACACCGCCGTAGCGGCCACGTACAATATGTAGCAGTGGAGTTCCCCGGCTGGCATGTGTAAAATGCTAAACTTATTTGATTGTACACTTAGGCAACCGGTGCGGATTGTTAAACTTTTCAACAACCATCCCAAACTCGTTCGCGTTCCGAACGACTTACCTCCTGTGACGTCAAACGTCATGCATCACTTTTACATTATGGGTCCACCCGTTTGGATCCGCCCTCGCAGACTAGCCCCGGAGAAGCTGAAAGCTGCGAGCAAATGCTCGAACTGGGAACAATCCGCCCGTCCAAAAGTCCATTGGCATTACCATTGTACATAGTACCCAAGAAATCTGGTGACGCGTTCAACAAAGTTACGGTCCCATATAAGTACCAATCCAGCATATGCAAGACTTAACCTCAGCTCTACCTGGCAAGTCTGTTTTTTGCAAAATGGACCCAGTCCGCGCCTACCACCAAATACCTGTAGCTCCAGATGACATAGTTAAAACAGCGGTCATCAAGCCGTTTGGCATTTTTGAGTACTTCCGAATGCCGTTTAGCCTTAGCAACGCTGCTCAAACTTTTCAGCGTTTCATTCATGAGGTAATACGAGGACTTGAAGGCGTTTATCCTTACTTAGATGAGATACTCGTAGTCAGCTCTTCTGACGATGAATATCTCCGTCACATTGACGCAGTTTTCCAACGATTGACCCAGCATGGCGTTACCGTCAACCCCGAGAAATGCGTACTTGGCCAGAACACCGTAGACATTCTTGGCCACAAAATGTCTCCCGCTGGTATCGAAGCCCTTCCAGACAAAATCAAGGCATTGGGGGACTATCTTGCTTCTGATACCTTCAAACAGGTAAGCAGATCCCTTGGCATGGTCAACTACTGCCAACATTACATTTCCAACTGTGCGATCATTATGCAACTCATGACCGACTTGATCTGCGATAATCAAGGCTCATTTCCTTTCCCAGACGACGCCAAAGTGGTTTTCGAGAAGCTCAATGATGTAACCTTCAACATAGCGCTTCTCACTCACTCTC